CAGTGCCAGATAGGAGAGGCGCTTTCCCTGCCTGGGGCTGGGCCCCCGGAGAACTGGCTGGGCGAACAGTGGCGCGGCAGGGGACAGCCCTGGAGCTGGGCGGATGGGGTAGGGCAGCGATCGGTGGGGTGCTGAGTTCAGTGTCTCTCAGACCTAGGCAGCACTTTGCTGCTCAGGCTAACGCCGGCTCAATCCAAGCCACCAGGGAACTACCCTGCAGCATTTCCCCCCACCCCCAAGCCCTCGAACGGGGCAGGTTTTGCCCCTGCGCCTCGTTCTTCTCCTGACCGTGAGCTCCGCGCGCTTGGATGAGGCTGGCTGAGCAATCAGGAGGTGAAACTGACGTGCATAATTCCCCACACCCTTGGTTTGAGACCCCAGCGTCCGCCTGCTCCGAGTTCAGGGCCTCAGACTGAATCTCTGTGTTTGTCTGAGTGAGGGGTTTCGCAGACGCTGAACCAAGCCAGCTTTGCCACTGTTCATTTAGAATTGCACTTGTTCAACATGTTTTCCCTTCACTAAATACCCCGTTGACACAGTGTGGTGAAGTGGGAATGTTCTTACAGTTTTCTCTGAATACTGTGTGGGTGCCTCGGTTTCCCCTATGCAGTTCTTAAGTATCTAGGTGGGGGATTAAGGGGGTGTGATTGTTGCAGAGCCCTAGAGAGCCAGGGCGATGGTGTCTTCACAGAGAATGGCCGACGCCCCGTCTCTTGGCAACTGATGGCCTGGGCCCCTCTTCTGCAAAGGTGCCAACTGAAGGTGTTGGAGAACAAAGAGATCAGGTGGCCTCCTGGCCCCAGGAAAGAGACAAAGGCCAGAGGAGGGGCTGGAGGGAGTTTCAGTTTGGAGCTGGCTGGAGAAATGGAGGGGGCCCAGACCGGGCTCTGGCCTCCCTGGCTCCAAGATGGACCTGACTTGAGGGGTCCTGTTCTCTGTACCTACAAGCTCTGTATTGGACTGTGTTTCTGTCGTCTAAAAAACCTTCTGTTTTACTGTCTGGCTGAGAGTCACGTCTGACTGCAGAGTTGGGGTGCAGGGCCCTCTGGCTTCCCCAGGACCCCGCCTGTGCGGACTCGCTGTGGGAAGCGCACAGTGTGAGAAGGGGCTGCTGAATGCTCCAAGGTCAGGCCCAGGAAGGTCGAAGCTGTGTAAGCTTCTTGCCCTGGAGACAGTGTGCTTACATGCTCCCCCAGAGTCCTGACTGGCTTCGTATGGAGTAGTTCCAGAGAATTGCCCCGTGACTTCGTGACACACAGTCTCTCTGCGTGGGGCTGGCCAGTCTTTGAGGCGATAGTTGCCCCGATTCTCAAGGGCTGGACGATCTGGCATAGGGCCACTTTCTGCGCTGGCCACTAAGGCACCATCTGTTAGCAGCTTTGCAGGGATTACTTCCTTGCTGCTCTGTTGGACACCAATGAATCATGCAGCTCATGCCAACCAAAGATGTTAACTCAGATCCCGGTGGAAAAGCCCAGGTCATTGGCTGAGGCTAGTAACTGCTCCCAGAACAAGGAGCAATGGTCTCAAGTTGCAGTGGGGGAGGTTTAGGTTGGATATTAGGAAAAACTTTTTCACTAGGAGGATGGTGAAGCACTGGAATGGGTTACCTAGGGAGGTGGTGGAATCTCCTTCCTTAGAGGTTTTTAAGGCCTGGCTTGACAAAGCCCTGGCTGGGATGATTTAGTTGGGAATTGGTCCTGCTTTGAGCAGGGGGGTGGACTAGATGACCTCCTGAGGTCCCTTCCAACCCTGATATTCTATGATTCTAAGCGACGGGTTTCTGGTAAAAATATTAAGGGGTCTCGCTGCCTCAGTTTCCTTCCTTAACTAGCTTTGCTCACCTGGATTTCAAAATGGCTCATTAGTTTCAAGACGAAGTAATAACGACGCTAGTGTTTTCACACATACGGGCCCATCTGAAAAGCCACATTGTTCTGACAAATGGAAATTGATCCCCGCTGGGTTTTTCCCCTTGAGTCTGTTTCTTCCTGCCCCAGAGAGAGCATCCAGGTTCCTCCCCAGTGACTAGTCCTACTGATGTTAATACAACTGGATCACAGCAGTGCTCCTTCAGCTGATGTCCAGGTCCTCTGTCTGACACGGCTGCTTCAGAGGAAGGTGCAAGAAACCCCCCTAGCTGCCATGTATGGAGTGACCTGCCCCTAGGGTGAGTTCCTTCCTGACCCCTCACAGAGGCTGGCTCATGCCATGAAGCATGAGGGTTTTTAGTGGATGGGTGTCCACAGCATAGAAACCACCTGCCGAGTTAGTATTAACTGGCCCCCTTGCTGGAAGCAAAGGCTGTAATGGAGCAGGTGATGGTGGGAAAGGGTGGGGAATGTTTACCCTGCCATTGCCCGGGCTGTACCTGCTCTGTAGAGACCCCTGTGGCTCTCCCTCATCAGCGGGGGCAAGCCTTTTGTTGCTTTGGGAGACCACCCACCGTCCCAGGATTCCAACAGACTGGCACTTCCCGTTTCTTACCACTGTGTGATTTATACCGTCCCCCCCTGACTGGTTGGCCTCGTTCCTTCTGGTCCCTCCCTTTTCTAAGGGTTGACCAATGATGTTCCTGCAACAGGGCTGTCTGGGCCCCTGCCCTTTTACTGAAGTCAGGTCGACTGGCTCCTTCCACCTCTGCCTATTTAAACCAGTCCTGTGCACTCTGCGTAGCTTTCAGAGGGTGGAATTCCCCTCCCTGGAGCGGGCCGACAAAGGCCTTGAGCACCCCATAAATCCTATAGGTATTACTAGGATTGAAAGGGTGGCCGGAGCCTGGAGCTCGGGGAAACTTCTCCGGGGGAGAGGGAAGAAGTGCTCGTTCTTTTAAACCACAGCTGAGCAGCCCAGCCGAGCAGCAGTTCCTGGGATCCTTTTGACACCTTCAAGGATTTTCAGTGTCATCGGACAGATGTTTCAGTTAGAGGCCAGCGCAGCAGCCCACGCAAGAGTCAGGAATGTATCCAAGGCTGCCAGGATAGATCGGACCCAGGCGCGTTCTCGTTAGATGTCCGGGAATAGGAAAATGTGAGGATGTGCTGCTGATGCTGGCGGTGGGAATTCTGGCCAGCTAGGAACTGGCTCAGAGAGTTCGCGTTGTGCTAAGTGGAAGGCCTAAGTTCTTCTCCAGTCTGTTTGTCTGGGGCCAAATCTGGGTTTAAACAAACGGCAACACAGTGACAAGTAAACTCGCTGTTTAGGATTCATGGAGTTTTAATCTTCTCCTGTGTATTAGTCACTTGGCTAATGAAACGGGGGGTGGGGGTTGAAAAACACACGGGCCAAGATTTTACAAAGGGGTTACTGAGTTTGGGTGCCCAACCCCCACACCTTAAAGGGGTCTCCCGGTGCGTCCAACCCCATCTTTAGAGCTGATGGAAAGAGCTGACCAGAGGGAGCCATTTGCAGGGCACGACGACATTCTCATCACAGCAAACCCATGCGACGCGGTGTGTTTTCTACTGGCACCTTATCTGTTAACTGTCTTTACATGTACACAGACAGAGAGCACGCTTGTAACACTGATCATCCTTGCCCGGAAAACCAGGCCCCTTTAAGGTGTGTCTAGTTGGGCATCACTAGCCACTTTGGAAAATCTTGATCATGCCTTTTAAGCTTAAAGAGCTGCATCCCATGTCACATTTTCAAGTCCATAGGCCCAGCGTTCCCCTGGTGTAACTCCACTGAAGTCCCGCCCGCCGCAGAGAATTTCTGTTTTCGACAGCTGTTTGCAGCATCCTGCCCGGGGGTACAGGGAGGCATGCAAACCTTTCATGCTGGCTGAGCACTGGGTCCTGATTTGCAGCATCAAAACTGCAATGTTTCAGACTACGACAAAAGGCCTAATTGAGAACAGCCCTGGAAACGTTGGTGCCTTTTCCACTTGCGCTCTGTGCAGTCTGGCCTATAAATAGGGATTTGAAAATCCGGCTGATGGTTTAGTTCTCCGAGAACGACGGAGACGAAAGGTTAGGAGGCCTAGAGAACGTATGGCAGCAGGGCCGTGCAGCTTGGCAGCCCTGACTTGTGAGAGGAAACGTAGCCTGCATCTGGGAACCAGATTATGCGGTAATGGAGTTTACTTTTGCAGTACTTTCCCATAGTGATTGTTGATTGAAAAGCAATTGCTTGCACATGTAGCTCTTGAGAGGGGTAAACAACGAGGCTCTGAGATAAAGCAAGGAGCCCAGATTTGCAAGCTTCGGAGCAAGAGCACAGCTCGTGTTCGAGATCAGCTGCCTCAGGCCCTGTCTGTTGTTTTGATCCCATTAGGAGGTTGCAAGGAAGCTGACTGCGCCGCGTGTCTGAGAGGAGGGTGCCAGGGCCAGATGTTGTGCAATATATTGATTGTGATTCCTTGCAGAGCCGCTGCCTTGTTTTGGGAGCTTGTGCCAGCTATTTGCTTAAGCACAAAGGACTGGTTTGTGTTTCTGCAGATCTGGACAGTAGAGGTTAAAATGCAATGCCAGGGGCTGCCTCAGAAGTTGTTCTGAAGTTTGTCTCATTTAACTGAAGCCAAAATGGGCTCCAGCAGGGGTCACGAACAGCAGCCAAGATGCAGTGCTGCAGAGCAGATGAGAACTGTTTACTAGTTTAACCTTCCTCCATAGAATATTACTATCTTGGCACGCAACGTACTTCTCTGCTGGGTGATATGCTGGATGGCCCTGGAGACAGGAAGCAGGACCCAGAGCCTTTCACCACAAGGTTGCTAGTATCAATTCAGCCAGGTCAGCAGGGAGCCGAAGTCTGTGATTTCCCCCCCCCCCCCCCCCGCCCCCAACCATTAGGAGCAGGTCTTGGTGCTTTCCCTGCAGCACACTTCTTGCCACATGCGGGCACCCTCCGTTCCCGTGCCGGGCGGTGGGAGCTGAGGGTGCTCAGCGTCACAAAGGATGAGGCCCAGCCTTAAGAGTCTCCGGGTGGGCTCCATGTCATTCCGGGTGCCAGGGTTCTGGTTACGTGCACTCAGCGATCTCTCTCCCTTCTCTCTCCAGTGCTCCAAACCCAAGCTGCTCACGACCTGCTCCGCTGTCCAAGAGATCCGGAGATGCACCCGCCTCGAGATGCCAGACAACCTGAACACCTTTGTACTCAAGGTAGGGCCTGCATCTCCCCTGACAGTAGGGTTCTACAGGCAGGGACCCCTGGGATGGGGGCGGGAGAGATCTACTGCCTGGCTCTGAGCCCCAGACAGAGTCCTGCAGCAGGGAGCGAATGCTCTGTGAAACTCCAGGGCCGGCCCAACACGTGATCTCAATCTGTGTCTCGTTCTCTGCCCCTGTCAGTGATCTGAGTTCAAACAGGCCAGCAGTTCCCAGCTGTTGGGGCAGCGAGGGCACTTGACAGGGCTAACACCCATGCTGCGCCAGCCAGTGCCTGCTGCTTGTCATAGAGCGGTGCCCTCTGACAGAGCCTTGCTGCATCCCCAGCTCTAGTCCTGCCAGCACCGAGGGGCCCGGCAGAGGCTCCTGAGCCTGGGGTGGGGAGCCCAGAGGCCCTGTCACTAGAGACCGCTCTGGGGCGTGTACAGGACAGCGAGCGTGGGCTCTGTGGCTCTCCCTGCAGGCACAGCCTCCAGATGGGTGCTGGAGGTGCTGTTCAAACAGCCCCAGGGCCTGCAGCCCGAGTGTGCAGTGGAGCAGAGCCAGGCTCCTGCCTGGGCAAGCAGCCTCCTTGCACCGGCTCAGCAGCTGCCTCAGGGCACATCCCAGGCTCTGGGGTTTCCTTCTCCCCTCGCAGCACGTGTCTGCTGGAGCTCTGATGCCAAATTTCAGTTCCTCTTCTGCTTGCGGGGGAGTGGGGGGAGTGGGTGCTGTTGGCTTGGGCTGGGTGTTTCCTTCAGGCTGCGGCCGCTGCCTTCCCTGGTAGCTTTCTCTCAGCTCGTAAGATTAGAGATTACCCTGGTTAGATGCAGGGTATTTCCTTGTGTGGATAATGCACTGGGCGGGGGGGGATCTGGCCCCCTGGAGACCAGCAGAAGGATGGTAGATGCTACCCGTGTCATTGGCAGCATCTGGGCTGGTGGCTTCCAGGAGCCGGTTTGTCATCTGTCACACCCTCCTTGGTGCCCGCCCCCACTGCTGCTCTGTAGACGCTGCAGTGACCAGATTCTTGATAGCAGCGCTTGTCCATTCCTTCCCCAAGAGGGGACAACCGAGCTGGCACCAGCCCCTCCCCAGACTGTCATCCCCTTCTCTGCCTGCTGCCAATCCCAGAGCTGGGAGAACGGTCTGTCACCATGTATCCTCTCCTTTTGGCATCAGAGCTGCGCCCATGTTGCTGTGGGCACCTGGTGAGGCAGCCGTCGCTCCTAGTTGCCCCTGTTCTTCTGCTAGAGGTTTCCCATCCTTAGACTGGGGACCAAGGCTCCCAGAGTTGTGACTGCCACACTGGCTTCTGGCCCCTGTCTGTGCTGAGGTTGCCCTGTGCAAAGCACACGTCTCCCCCTCCCATCTGCTCTGCTCCTGGTGCCACTCTGCTGCCTGGCCTCCTTCTCCCTGAGCATTCTTCTCCCTCCAGGGGCTGGCACATCCTGCCCCATGGCCTCAAAACAGTTGGGTACAAGTCGCAGAGCTAGCCAGGACTCTGGGGGCCACTGCAGTTTGAGAACCGCTGGCTCCAGGGGCCATGGTGCGGTTCCTGACTGCAGGCACAACATTCTGACCACTGTCACTTATGCCGCCCAGACATGTGGGCCCAGTGAGGGGCAGGTGGAATATGAGGCCATCAGTGGCCAAGTTCCTCTAGGAAGTAAGTGGCCCAGATCTCCCTGCCCTGGGGCCAGAGCCTTCCGCACACGAGTTTCCTTCCTCCCCTTCCTTTCCGCTGCAGAGGCCATGAATCATTTCCACTGGAGACGGCTGACCAGCCGGGGTGGGAGGGAGAGCGGGGCCGGGGAGCAGAGAGCCAGAGGGAAGAACAGAGAGGGAACTCCCAGGGGCTGGTGGGAGAGGCTGTGAAGGAAGTGATACTGTAGCTGGTTCTCAGGACCCAAGCGGAAATCCCCGCTCCTGTGGGGTGGGCCGTGGACACCCGGGCGGGACAAGGTAGCTGTATTTTTGTGCCACGAGGAGGCCGTCCAACACTCGCCTTCTCTCCTGTCTAGGTGAATAACTGCACAGACGTTGTATTCGAGGCTGGGGACGAGCAGCAGCTGAGTTCCTGGACAGCCGAAATCAAAGAATGTATGACCCGAGGGTAAGGAGCGCGCTAGGGCCTGTTGCTCGGGCGCTTGCTTTGGTTGACCCCTAGTTCATGCGACACTGGGAACAGTCGGCTCTTGACACTTACACTTGATGGGTGCAATTCCCTCCGTGGGGGCTGGGCCCCAGCCTGAGACTCCAGCGGGCCTCGCCTTTGCACACGTTCCCCACGCAGAGCTGAAGGGATTCCCAGGCCAGATCGTGGAGGAGTTGCCCCTTGTTACCCTCCCCCTGCTCCCCCGGTCCAAACTCCACCTCCCTCCCCCCCCCGCCCGGACACGGACCTTTGACTCTTTGCTTCTCGGTGACTGGGCGGCGTTGAGCCCCTTCGAATGCACGGGGCAAGTCAGCTGAGTTCCTGAAAACATTGCCCATGTAGGGCCCAGTCGTGCTGGGTGCTCCGGGCCTTTGGCTCCCATTGGAGTCCGAGGGAAGGGAAGGGGCTCAGGCCCTGGATTGGTCCGGGCAGAGCTGTGCTCTGGGAATCCCAAGACGGAACTGTCCCATTGCCTGAGCCATGCGGGGGCCCGGTGAGAAGGGGAGTCTCTGGGCCGGGATTTCCAGACACCCTGAGCGAGGGCTGCAGCTGGCAAAGCCGAGCTGGGTGAGTGAGCCCCTCCAGGCCAGTCTGCCCCCAGTTTTGCTAGGCCCCAGGGCTCCATGTGCCCAGATCTTGGCTCTAGGAAGAGGCTGCATCAAGACACAGGCGCTACAAGCCACAGTCCAAGGCCCTTTACGAGGATGCAGCATGGCTGGCCTGGCTTCTCCAGCCTCCTGCAGCCAGTCGGGGCAAGTGAGACTAGCCCGGTGCCATGCGGCTCCCCGGGAAACCTGCCCAGGCTTTTCCCCGGGCTACTTGCCCCCTTCCCTCTCTGTGCTGCAAATGTCGGCTTTCAAATCCAGCACAACAGGGAGGGGGAACTTGCTCCCGGGGTCAGTGCCCGCGGAGGGCGGGGTCCTCGGGATCCGGCATCCTGACGTGAAGCCCCCGCTGGGGGCAGAGACTGGGACGTTGGCACACTTGGCAGAGCCGCCCGGCTCGGGCACTAATCTGGAAATACAGCCGGCCAGTGCTGCTGTAAATGCCTGTCGCAGAGTTAGTGTCGTTAAAGGAGCTTGCCCAAGCCCCCAGCCGGCTGGGGGAGCACTTGAAGCACTGCTAACACGTGGCCAGAGCCAGATGTTCTGAACACCTGCCAGGAGCCGGGCTGGCTGGGGACTGGGATTCCTCGCCCCCGGCACTCTGCTGCTGGGCGGGCAGCGAGGGGAGGGCAGGCCCCTGTGCCCGCTGGCACCAGTCTGTGCTGCCCGGAGCACTCTGCAAGTGGGGGTCTGGGGGAGACGCTGCGGGTGCTTCCGGAGAGGGAGGTGAAGGGGCCAGCGAGCTGGGGCCCTGCAAGCAGGGCTGCGTCGACACAAGCTGCTGCCCCGAACATCACACCTCCCAGCTGGGCTGCTCTCCTCTCCCACCATCTCCCCTTATAGGCTGTTCCTCCCACGGGCACATGGCTCTGCTCCCCACATGGACACACTCACCCCTCAGGCTGCCAGGGCCTGCTCTGCATGTGTGGCTGGCGGTTTCCCAGGCCGAGCTCACCCCTGTGGATTGAGGGCGGGGGCACGGGCTTCACCCCGTCCTGACCCCCTGCCCACTCACTGCATGAGAATTGGGCTCTCCAGGTGACGGCCGGGCTCCCTTGGGCTAGTGGTGAGCCAGCCCAGCCATGCTGGGCCAGACGCATCCCTGGTATGACTCACCTGGGCGCGGGAGCTATACTGGGGAGTAATTTGGCCCTAGCCCTGAGCGAGATGGAAGGAATCAGCAGGGCCTGGCGGGGAGCCCCGAAGCCTGGGTTGTGCTGCCCCTTTCTGGGCCTCGAGCTCCGGGACTGTGGTTCCCTAGCTCGTGGTGGGGAGCTGTCGGCCTGTGTTCCCAAAGCGCCCGGAAGGGGCTGGCTGGCATGATTCCCAAATCCTGGCTTGGAAGGCCAGGGGAGAAGGGGGGCCTGGCTCTGAGGGGCGCTGGGCTGGCGCAGCGAGGTGGCAGTGCCGCCCCCTGGGGAGGAAGTGCCGGAAGCCCTGGCTGGCCCGGCTATCGCCCGGTCCTGCAAGCAAGGCGCTTCCTGTTATTGAAATACCCTGTGGTGTGTCAGGGCCGAGCCCTGTTGTGATTTACGGAGCGCTCTGCTTCCCCAGTCCCTGCTGTGCTCCTTGTTCCCATGACTTAGGGCCTGCTTCCGGCCTGGCCTCTGGGAACCCAGCGTGCCTCGGTTTGACTCCGGCCCTACTGACGCCCCGCGGATTGCTTCAGCCCTTGGCCCTGGATCCCCCCTCACCCCCTAGGGCCTAGCGCTGGTCAGAACCTAGGTCCTGACTGCACAGAGACATCAGTGCCCTCGGGCTGGCCTCGCAGCCCCTGGCAGGCTGGGGACAGTGGGGCTCCTAGATCTAGGCCCAGACACCTGGGGCTGTCTGGGCCGGGGAGAGAGGGGCTGGGGGAGCTGTGCAGTCTGCTGCACGTGGGGATGGTCCCTATGGGGGAGTCGGGGAGGGGCTGTAACCACCCCCTATAGTGGGGTCTGGGCAGGGGTCAGCTCGAGTAGCTCTTAGAGGGCACAGCACCATTCCAGGGGTCCCTGAGGTCTTCTCCCCACCCCCGTGTATTTGGGGGATACTTGATGCATTTCCAGGGCAGCATGTGCCCTTTTCCTCTGGTTCCTGTTTGCATCGCAGCTGTGCCCAGAGGAGTAGGGCCCCATCGTGCTGAGTGCTCACCCCAGCCCCGTCCCAAGAGCTCACAGGCTGTTCAGTGGCAGGGACGGTGCAGCGGTACCCAAGGGGGAGCTGAGGCCCACTCCGAAGCAGGGAAACCTGCCCCTACCTCAAACCCAGGGAGAGGGTGGGGGCTGAATACAGCATCTGCTGCAAGCCGAGGGGGCCTCCCAGGCTGCTCCAGTGCACTGAGTCGACCCCTGGGCAGCTCCAGGGCTGGCAGCGAGTCTCGTTAGCCCCAAGGAGCTCAGCACTGTATTTCTCCAGTTGTGCAGGCCAGCGGTATACTCAGCCCTGGTTGGCCAGGCAGCCCCCCCTCCACCCCCCAGTACGGCACTGAGATGAATCACACCGTCCTTTCTCTCCTCCCCTGAGTGTCCCCGTCTACCGCCTGAGGGCACTTCACGCAGGTGGAGACAGATGGGGAAACTGAGGCAGCAAGCGGGGCTGCGACCTGCCCACGGTCAGACGACATTTCTGTCATTTCTGTAGGGCCAGCGTGTGTGTGTGCGCGATTAAAATCACACATCTCTCGCTCTCCCTCCTGTGTTACTAGTGAGGCCTGCGACTCTAGCAGGGGGGTTGCAGCTCTCGGCTGGGTTTTTCCTTTGGGCAGGCTGGCCGATGGCCCAGGCCCTATAGCCGGTTGGGAGTGTTGCTCAGGATGGCTTTGGGAACGCGCCTGCAGTAGGACCCCAGGGTGCTGCAGCGCCGCAGCGTTTAGAAACTTGTTTCCCTCGGATTTTTTTTTTAATTCATAAAAAAACTTGGAATTTCCCAGCATTTCGTGTCTTTACGAGCCCTGAATTCTGGGCAGCAGCTGAGCTGTCACGTTCCCGTCCAGGCAGTCTCTCTGCCTGGCACGTTTGCACAAAGGGAGCTGTGTTTCTCCTGTTCGCCCTGGTGCTTTGCCGAGCGGAGCAGCCGGTTCTCCACCTGGGTTCGGTGGCGGAAGCCGTGACATCCTTCCTGTGTCGTCCTGGCAGGTCCGGGGGAGCCGATATAGAGCTGCTCTCAGGCCAGCACTCTGACACCGTGGCATCCAGCCCTGCCACTGGCAGCACCGACTCCCTTACCCAAGGTGAGTGCCCTGCATGGGAGAGTCCCTCATGGCTAAGGGCTAACGGAGCAGACGGGGAGCGGCTGGACCTTTACCAGCCTACAACATTCATGGGGCTCCCAGCCATGCGTCACTGCTGGCGCGAACGGCTCCAGGGGACACCACTTGCAGGGGTGTCTAGTGCCAGTCACCCAGGGAGTGTCTCCGGTGGGTCTGGGCGGAGGGGGCTCCTGCCTGAGAGAGCTGGTGCTGAAGCCCAGCGAGAAGCCCCAGGAAACTAGCCAAGGTCTCCGGTTGGAGAGCGAATGAGGAATAACCAGCCCAGGGCAGCACCTGGAGCACTAACCTAGAGAAGAATTACACAGCTACTGGGGCAGGTAGAACTGCTGATCTGGGGCTTGATCCTGCGAAGGACTCAGCACCCTTAAACACCCCTGGATCTGGGAGGGAGCTGAGCACCCTCGGGCCCCTGCAGAGCAGGATTTTGAGCTTCCCGCTCTGCTCACCTGTCACTGCAAGACACGTGCTCCCAATCCTCTGCCAAGAAACCACTTCTCAGGCGCTGACACACGAAGCTGATTCACAACACCGTGCCAGTGGCGTTCTCCTCTCCTAAGGGGAGGCTGAGGCGGGAGGGGCTGATTAGCACGCTGCTTTTGCCTTCTTTCCAGCCAAGAGATTAAATATGAACCATGGCCTCCAGAACCGTTCTGGAGCTGACGGCAGCTGCTTTGGGAGGTGGGGGGCAAGCGGAGGGAGAGCTTGAGATTCTCTCCTGCTCCAACCCTGAAACGTCAGGCTGGTGCCTGTGTTTCCTGGAAAGAGGAACTAGGGTTGCCTGGGTCTCAGGTTGAGCTGACAGGAAACAAGGGTTTTACTGATAGTTTGAACGCTAAGTTTGTGTGTCACGCAGCTCCCACGGTGCTGTTGGCGAATGCAGGTACCGCAAGGCGAAGGACCTGGAGTAAATCAGGCTCTGGCTAAAGCAGAAGTGGCCAGTGACTGATTCAGTGCTAAAGGGTGCTGGGGGGAGCCCATCGCATGGCATGCCGGGGGGGGGGGGGGGGGAGGCACCAGTTTCTCTCACTAAGGCACATGACACACAGTAATGATGTGAGATGGCAGCTAAGCAGGGATGTGGCTGTAGTGTGGCGAGGGGGACGAGGCGTTGGGCAGTCCTGGGCCTAGCGCCAGCCAGTTCCATGGGTTCAGGGCTGCTCATTGTCACCAGTTGGGCTGTTGCTGTTTGACCGGCTCAGGATGGTTTATTGGCTCCAAGTCCTGCCCAAGCTGTGCCAGGTGCTTTCCAGAGAGCGACAAAGTAGGAGCCCTTCCCTGCTGAGTGGGGATTGCAAGGCGCTGCTCCCACGGGGTGGGGATGGGCAGCCTGCCAGGGAATGGCACAGCTGGGCCCACTTGGGCTGTAGCCAAGGCTTCAGCGTTCCCAGAGCCCCTCAGCCCTGCTCAGGGTTTGGCCTATGGGGTTGCAGCATTTCTCCCGCCAGGCCTGTCCCCACAGCCGTGCCTCTAATGCTGTTCTCCCTCCCCAGGCGCTATGCACTGTGGGCAGCCGGAGCCATCCTGCCAGAAAACCGACCAGTTCCTCTCGTCCTACCCCTGGTTCCATGGCCCCATTTCGCGCGTCAAAGCCGCCCAGCTCGTGCAGCTGCGGGGGCTGGATGGCCACGGGGTTTTCCTTGTTCGACAGAGCGAAACCCGCAGGGGCGAATACGTCCTCACCTTCAATTTCCAAGGAAGAGCGAAGGTAGGGCCTGTGCGGGGGGAGGTGCGGGAGGCGCCAGCCCTGCTTTTCTGCTCAGGGCTTCCTCCCTCTGTTTGACTCGACGGACGTCAGACCGCTACCAGTCAGAGTGGGGACCGGACCCCCCGGCACAACCAGCCCCCTCTCCCTGCTGAGCCAGCGTTGCTCCGGAGAGCACCACCAGTGGTGATTTGGGCAGCCTTGTTTCTAAAGTGCCCTGAGTCGAGGCTCCCGCTTGTCTTTGGGCTGTTCTACCCTGGGTGTGTCTGACTCCAACACCCCTGGCCCATGCTCTGAGGGCTGAGAGCCAAGACCCAGAGGCAGGGCAATTTTCAGGTCTCTCCTGAGCTCCAGTGTTCGGCCTTTGGAGGCCCGTGTCCCTCACGGAAGGCTCTGAACAGAAGACCGGGTCCTTGGCCCATCGGCCTGCCTGCAGAAGCCTTCCCCACTAGGGGCTGGCTTGGAGCCCCTGGGGAAACATGGCTTCTCCCGCCCCTGCCCTGCCATCCCCTCATGGTAGGAGACAATTCCACCCCTCCCAGCATAGGACGTAACCTGACGAAGGCCAGGCTGGTCCGACTCTTGGGGTGAGGGAAGAATGTGCCTCTGCCGAGGAAAGTTAAACCCAGGGGTTGCAAACCGGTTGTGTTTGGCTCAAGGGACCTGCTCCCGGTGACACAGATGGGGCTCAGTTCTGCTGCCCGTGCCCAGCCTCTGGCCCCAGCTCGCTGCCACTCCCCCCTCCCAGCCGAGCCAGCAGCTTTGTAACGCGCCCGTCTCCCTCGCAGCACCTGCGGCTCTCGCTGACCGACCGGGGGCAGTGCCGGGTGCAGCACCTGCGCTTCCCCTCCATCCTGGACATGCTGCACCACTTCCAGCGGTGCCCCATCCCCCTGGAGTGCGGCGCGGCCTGCGACGTCAAGCTCTCCAGCTACGTGGTGGTCATCCCGTCGTCCCAAGGTAGGAGGGGGCGTTACATGTGCACGTCTCCCCACCCCCATCGCCCCACTGGAGAGCAGCTGCCCTCCCCACCCCACCCCTGGCTCCAGGCGTGGCTGCCGTTCGCAGCCGCCCCTGGGGCCGCCGCCGCCCCCCCCGTTGGGGGGCCCCCCCCCCCCCCCCCCCCGCCCCCCCCGCTGCCGCACGCCCCTGGGGCTGGCTGGCTGGCCGGCCTCACCCATGTTCCAACCAGCCAATGCTGCTTGAACTGTCCGTTCTGTTAATTGAGCCAAAGCATTAGACCTTGGCTTAATTAATTATTTATTTAATCACAAGCCCGGCCTAGAGTAGCTGCTGGAGCCCGCCTGCGGCCGTAGTAATACCACAGGGTTAGAGTTCAACATGGCTAGGGTTACCATTCGTCCGGATTCCCCCGGACATGTCCGGATTTTTGAGCTAAATATAGCGTCCGGGGGGAATTTGTAAATGTCCGGACTTCCCCCCGGACGCTAACAGGGCAGCCGGCCGGATGGTGAAACTTACATGGGGCTCCGACAGCCAGAGACAGCCCCTCCTCTGCTCCCCTGCAACAGAGATCAACTCCCTCCCTCCCTGCATTCCAGATTGCCTCCGGCAGTCTGGAGCTCCTCCCCTGCCAGCCAGCCTGCCGGGACAAGCCTGCCGGGACGAGCGGCTCAGGCAGTTCCTGAGCAAGCTCACGGAAACATTAGGCGAAGGCCAACAACAAGGGGGGCAGGGGGTCGGAGAAGGGGCAGGGAGGTTTTGGAGGGGCAGTCAAGAGACGGGGGTTCGGGAGGGGGCTTTCTGGGGGAAGGGGTGGATAAGGTTTTGGGCAGTCAGGGTACAGGTAGGGGGTAGGGTCCTGGGGGGCAGTTGCGGGGGGTCTCAGGAGGGGGCAGTTAGGGGACAAGGAACAGGGAGGCTTAGGTAGGGGGTGGGGTTCTGGAGGGCAGTTAGGAGCAGGGGTCCCAGGAGGGGTGGTCAGGGGACAAGGAGCGGGGGGGGGGGGG